CTGCCTGGCTCTCAACTGGGCGGACTGATTTAAAATCATCAATTTTAATCATGGTTTAAATCAGCAAGCAGGAAACCTTGATTTTAAACCATCAATTTTAGTTGTGGTTTGCATGTCTTTTCCTATAAAAGGTTGATTCTCATTGGCTTGTAATGGCTACAACTTGTTTATCTGCAATTAAATATGGTCTTTAGAATAAACTGCCTGGCTCTCAACTGGGCGGACTGATTTAAAATCATCAATTTTAATCATGGTTTAAATCAGCAAGCAGGAAACCTTGATTTTAAACCATCAATTTTAGTTGTGGTTTGCATGTCTTTTCCTATAAAAGGTTGATTCTCATTGGCTTGTAATGGCTACAACTTGTTTATCTGCAATTAAATATGGTCTTTAGAATAAATCTGGTCCTCCTTTTTTGCTTACGAAGAAGATACAATGTAGCATAATTTATACTTACTCAGTTTCTTAATCTTCCATTTTTTGTCATGTTAAAACATTGTGAATGATGTATTTCTTATTTACTATATGATTTTTACATGTGATTACTGGTGGCTAATCCCTATTTGGATGGAAATTGAAAATTAAATAGCATTTTTATTGTTAAATAAAACAACTTTAAATGTGATGGATTCTAGGGATGTGAATGGTTAACTGGTAAGCATCACTGTCATCCAGCCCGGCTATGCCTTCCTGCTACCCACACCCATTTAATGGATTAACTAGTTAAATATAATGTTTAACTGGTAAACTGAGTAAATGGGATTTTACATCCCTAATGGATATAAATGAAAAAAAAGTTTAAATACAAAACATGTTTTGATAAAACTAATATTTATTAAACAAAATAAGTTTTGTTTGTAATTAGTGAATTGAACTGACTGTTTCTGGTCATTAAGTTAATCAAAATTTTAGAACTATCAGATCTCATTCTTTCATACTTAGTTTTTCTTCATAAACTGTATAGGCAAACAAGCCCTCTTACTTTCATTAATGCTAGCAGGTTTCTTAATTTTGAATAAATAATTGAGTTCAACTAGTTGAATAAATTGAAATGACAAACATAATCCCTTGGTACTTGCAGCAGAGGCTACTGCTGTCAAAGGCTGGTTTAGTACTTTAACACCTGGGTGCAGGGGCTTCGCTAGTAACTTCCACCATTCAGTGGTTTCACTTTCTTTAAAAATTAGCAGCAACTATGCACTGCTTAATATTATTTATATAATTTAAATTTTAATAGATTACAAAATATTTAGACCTCAAAGTACAGGCAGTCCCCGGGTTACATACAAGATAGGGACTGTAGGTTTGTTCTTAAGTTGAATCTGTATGTAAGTCGGAACTGGCATCCAGATTCAGCCGCTGCTGAAACTGATCAGTTTCAACAGCGGCTGAATCTGGACGCCAGTTCCGACTTACATACAGATTTCACTTAAGAACCCCAGGCGTCCCC